AAAAAAAAAAAAAAAAAAAATTAGCCGGGCGTGGTAGTGCGCACCTGTAGTTCCAGCTACTTGGAAGGCTGAGGCGGAAGGATCGCCGGAGCCCAGTAGGTGGAGGCTGCGGTGGCCGGGAGCGGCCACTGCACTCCAGTATGGGCGACGGAATGAGACTCCAACTCAAAAAAAAAAAAAAAAAAAAGAAAAAGAAAACCATGGCTTTAAAATGATATGATCTAGAGAGTGCACTGTTAGGTTAGATATTTATTCTATTGGCATCAAGTTTAAATTGATACTTAGAACAGACTTCTAATGAGAAAAAAAGAGGAAGAAATGAGTAAAAGTGGCATATATGAAGATGTAAACAGTTGGGGATGTGTTGGGAAGAAATGTCTATGTGTGTCTAAGATGTAAATCTGGTTCTTTTATCTTCACTTAAGCTAAAATTCCATAATCATGTGCAAGATAAAAGGCGTGGAGTTAGCATCTAATTTTAAGCCAGAATTAAAAATTATCAGACAACCTCATCTTGTTTTCTAGATTTTGTACTGATCTTCATGAGATTTAGTTTTCTCTTTGGTAATGGATATTGTGAGGTTTACTGGATATTTTTAAAAATCCAGATGCTTCAACTGTACACTTGGAGATAAGTTTTCTGTCAACCTATGACTTTGAGCCAAATTGTAATAATAAAAGTGGTTATAAATGATCCTGTTTGCTGTATGACACTGCACCATGCTGCTTATAGCCCTGTGAGTTAGCTTTTGTTATCACTGGCTTTCAGATGAGGAAATTGGGGCTTAGGTGAAGTAATTACCCAAGTACACATACTTAGTTAAGCAGTAGAGCAGGAAATTTAGCATTGGTCAATCCAATGCCTTTTTTTCCCCACAATGCTCAGTTGTCTCTCTGAGCTAGTTGGGTATGTCTGTGAACATTTGGAACCACTGACAGAGAGTACAGTGTGTGAATCTAAATGTTTGATATGATCTGACGGATCATGGTGACACTGTTGAGTCCTGGGATAAAATTAGGTACAGGGACTCACCTTCACTTTCATAGGGTTTTTTAATTAAACAAGAAGTATAAAATATCTTTGTAAAGGAGAAATGTTATATAGGCAGGCTTCTTTAAACATCATTATTATTACTATTACATGGAACAACTTGGGGGAATAGGTCATGTTTATCTTTTAAAAAATGTTTGTAATGGAGTCATTTGAAATTATCATTTTAACTTTCAGAGGACATGGCTTTTGTGCTTTCTTGATCAAACCCTTTCCCTACTTATCCTCCCTTTCTGCCACAGCAGCTGCCTAGTAATAAATATTTTTGAAACAAATGTTATTTGAGGACCTACATATGTCTGAGGTCATTAGGCTATGTCTCAGTAGAGAGTACTAGTAGTTTTTACCTTTAAAGGCATTTAAAGGTTTAAAAGATAAGATTAACTATTAGCCTACCTTTAATAGAGATGCTTCTGATGCATCAAAATTCTTACTCTAAGTTTATCTTCACAGTTAAAATCATATTATTTAAGCTTTATTTTTTATTTTTTTTATTTTTATGAGTCGGCATCTCAGTCTGTCACCCAGGCTGGAGTACATGGCTTACCACAGCCTCAACTTCCTGGGCTCAGGCGATCCTTCCTTCTTAGCTTCCCTAGTAGCTGGGACTACAGGTGCATGCCACCATGCCTGGCTAATTTTAAAAACATTTTTGTAAAGATGAGGCCTCACTATGCTGCCTGAGCTGGTCTTGAACTCCTGGGCTCAAGCAGTCTTCCTGCATTAGCCTCCCAATGTGTTGGTATTACAGGCATGAGCCACTGCACCCAGCTTATGTAAACATTTGTTAAGAATTAGTTCAACTGACTCCCTTTCTGGTCTTCTTTCACACTCACTCCTTTTTTCTCTTCTTCCTCTAGCCTTTCCCTGAATGGATCTTGTAGATATTGGGTGGGGAAGAGTAAGAAGGCATCTTCACTTAGTGGGTGGAGTTGAAGAGGTCTAGATCAGAGACTGGGTCTGGTAAGTATGGTATCCAGGTAAAAGGACAGCGTAGTGTGAAGTGTTAGAGCCTGAGCACAGTGAAGTAGGTACTCCTTCAGAGGGACAACCGGGTACAGAGTCTCAGGGCTGCGCAAAATGAAAAGTGTTTCTATACAGGGGCAGCCAGACATGTGGTTTCAGACCCCAATCAGTTATGGAGGCAAAGCACGCTGAAGGTTCAGACAGCGCATGAAGTTGAGGCCTGAGCCAGTGAGGGAGACATCTCTGAGAGGACAGGTGTGGCGGTGGCCATCAGAATTTAGTAATATACAAGGAAGTTGGTTTTATGCTAGAAAAGAAAGATGGGGAAAAGAATAGAATGAACCCTAGGATGTTGGATTGCAATTGGCAATATCAGTGTGAACTCATGACTTTAAATCTCTAGCTCTTTACTTATCTGTATATCTTTCTATTTATAGGGACATGTGTAGATTTAAACATGTGCCTGTGTAAATATATGTGTAATGAATATAATGCACGTGAGGGGTGACCCCCCCATGGAATTTATTTATTAAAAAATTGTGTATTTATTCTTACATGTTTAAACTCAATTGTCTTCAAAGTAGTCTCCATTTGATGCAATACACCTATTGAGATACTTTTTCCACTGCTTAAAGCAGTTTTGAACTTGTCAATTTTGATGGCTTTTAGTGCTTCTGCAAGTTTTTTGTTTCACCTTTTCCATAAAGCTGTTTCCCTTTGAGAGCTCTTTTCATTTAGGAAAACAAAAAAAGTCACTTGGGACGAGATTGGGTGAATTGGGAGGGTGGGGTAGAGGTCGTGCTATTTTTTGGTCAAAAACTGCTGAACGCTCAGTGTGGTGTGGGCAGGTCAACTGTAAGTCACCCCTCATGAAATGGGCAAACGTGTTGAAAGAATCTCAGACAAAACACAACACCCTCACTGAAGCTGAACGCAGACTCTCACAGCAGCAATAGCTGGTACACTGCTGCCAATGGGTTCCTAGAAAACTTACCTAGCAGGGGAAGCCTGTGCTACAAAGGACCCGCCATCCAAAAACTAATTCTGGTTTTTTTTATGTGTGTCTCCCCTCATATATAATATGTTTGTATATATAGGTATGCAGGCGTGTATTGTTAACTCTGTCCACTGAAATGGAGCAGTGATTTCCTGGTTGCAGTAAGTATACTTAGCATCCAGATCATTTATTAGCAATAGTAGTCAGGGTTTCTGGGTGAAATGACTGATTTCAGGACTAGGGTGGGAAAGTACCAGATAAGGTTAGAACTTCTTGTGCTAGAAAGCAGTAAAGTACTTGAAGTATGATGAATCATGACAAATGGATACATAGGCCAGCATGAAGGGGTTCCCACTAGACAAATCTGGGAC